TAGCCTTTACCATGACCGCTTCCTCTCCTGCGACACCATCAATTTATGGTGATTTGACTCCGTCATTAGGGGTGAGCGGTTTTCGGTCCGGTCCGGTCCCACCCAAGAACCGGAAACCGGACCGGGAGGACCGATTCCCATTTTTTAGGATTGAGGACCGGACCGGCTAGTCCTAGGACCGTGGACCGGACCGGACCGATGATCCGGTCCGATTCTAATGGAACCAATCACGTATTTTTAAATTAGGCTTTCTATTTTAAATAAATAAATGTATTTATTTTTCTATTTTCAAATGGAACTAATTACGTTCCGATGGAATCAATGGAACCAATCCTTAAAAAAATTGGTAAAGGCAAAAGGGAATAGATTAGGCTTTCTTGTTTTCTTCAAAAAATTTAAAAAGTAAATATGTATATATTTATCGGTCCGGTCCGGTCCGGTCTGGTCCGGTCCGGTCCGATTCCCACCCTAGAACCGGGAACTAGACCGCCCGGAAACCGTTCCACTTTTAGGAACCGGGAACCGGACCGATACTCTCGAGAACCGGACCAAACCGGCCGGTCCGGTCCGGTCCCGATTCGGGCGGTCCATCATGCTCACCCCTATCCGTCATCAAGAACTAATCTTCATGCACCTTTTTTCGGCACCGTCATTGTATCATCTAATTGTGTGAAGGTCCTCCGTTATCCATCTCTGCACTGAACTGCTTGCCTCTCGATGAGTAAAAGTAGACTCCACTATGAACAGCTCCACACTGAAACCTCAATACCATGATGCTTTATTTTATAATTTATCAATTTCCTTCTTGACATAATGAGGAGCAGCCATTGCGTCACAGTCTGAATTCTTCACCAGCAGACACGTGCAACTCGCCAATTACTCACAGTATTGATTGTGGAGCCTGTGTACATCCCCCTGCTATTTTTCCTAGAATTCTTGCGAGAGGTTTCTCTTTGTTGCGCTTCAAGAAGTCGATTCAAAGTATGTTCGCAGAAACACGGTTTTGTTCTTGGTGAGAGGGTTCTGTTCTATTCAAGACGAAGATGATTTCTTTAATTTCTCGGGGGCAAAGGATCCATCATGAAAAAACTGCGATTTCCCTTCGATAAATCAACTAGGCAGGTTTAGCGACGGCTTGTGAGTGCACTTTAACTAAAAATATCATGATTCTCTGGCAGTTTTGATTTGCCTCATAGTTGAAACTGAAAGGCACGGGGAACCTCATTAGCAACTCTACAATGTGAAAATTATGAAGGACGACAAACTAAATCACACCAGACATCGTGTGCTTGTACTGGGTCTGATACTGCGCGTTGCACGCCCCTTATTGAAGGGTAGTTCTTCAAGCCAGAGTCATCTCAAATTTCCAGCGGAAGGCTGCATCTGACTCCAGCTCGCCCTGCCTAACCAAAACGAAGATATGAAGAAACACATCATAAATGCTCGACCCTTTTCATATAGCGAACACCAGAGAAAGATACAGGTCATATAGCGAACACCAGACAAAGAGACGCGAGACAAAGTGCGCACTATTTAGATTCAAAAGAGATGCTAATTACAGTGTGCTTTTCATAGCTAGAGTTAAGTTAATAACTCGTATGTACAATTGAATTGAAGAGACCTCCCAAAAACAAGGATACCGAGAAGCTATCGCAAATTGGGGTGCTTTCCATTTTCCCACAAATTGGGAAGATGAATCGATCCATTATTTTCTCAGGTAGAAGAAAGAATTCTCCATAAAATTCTAACTTAACAACTAATTCCTAGCAAGTTACTTCTGAATTGGAATCAATGGAGTGCCCAACATCAAATAAATCTCTGCAACTTGTGAATGGGACCTATCATCCACAGAAAACTCATGAACGATTCCGTTGAGTTCAATCCAACTGCATCCTCGAAGTTTTGGAATTCTCCTCTCTTTCATTACTTCTCTAACACTTCTAGCCTGCTTCCACAGGCCAAGACCCGCATACATGTGAGAGAGAAGAACATAAGAAGTTGAATTGCATGAAGCCTGCCTAAATAGAGAATTAGCAACTGGCAGCCCAATATTGTAGTTCTCTTGAATCTTACAAGCACTAAGCAGGGTCCTCTGAATAATGTCATTTGGCTCGACTGGCATTTCTTCGATGAATTTCTTTGCCTCATTTAAATAACCTGCCCGACAGAGGATGTCAACCATGCAACCATAGTGTTGAATTCTTGGATTGATCATGTAAACTCTTCTCATAAGCTCAAAACAGATGAGACCTTCCTTCACCAAGCCGGAATGGCCACAAGCGTGCAACACTCCAATGAACGTGATATCATCCGGTTTCACGGAGAGTCTTTCCATCTCCATCAACATATCAAAAGCACATTCTCCTAGACCATGAATAGCCAACCCACCTATAATTGCATTCCAGTGATCGACATCTTTTTCAGGCAACACATCAAATACTGACTTGGCATTCTGTATGGATCCGCATTTTGAGTACATGTCTATTAGAGCAACACCAAGTTTTCCACCTAACGAGAAACCAATATCTTTTATATAGCGATGCACTGCAATTCCTTCATTAAGCTGTCCTAATTGAGCAATAGCAGAAAGTACAATCAATAAAGTGGTAATATCAGGCGACAAATTCCTCTCAATCTTCATAGAATAGAAGATCTCCAAAGCTTCTGCATGGAGACCATTTTGAACGCATCCAGCCATCATTGCATTGCAAGCGACAACATCTTGCTCGGGTATTTCAGAAAAGAAATCTCTCGCAATATCCACACATCCTATCTTGGCATAGCCATCTATCATGTTAGCCCAAGTGACCACATCCTTTTCAGGCATCGCATTAAACAGTCCATGAGCATCTCCCATCTTCCCACACCTGACATACGCATGAATCACGGTGTTCCACGAAATCAAGTCCCTCTCAGGCATTTCCTCAAAAAGCTTCCGAGCAGGGATAAGCCCATCTTCTGATTGGGAATACCCGCTCAGCATGGAGTTCCAAGAAATTAGATTCTTCTCCTCGACCGGCATCGAGTCGAACAATTCGCGCGCCGACTCAATCATCCCACATTTAACGTAACCATCTATCATGCAATTGTAAGATACGGAATCACGAGCAGCCATTCTATCAAACACCTGGCGCGCATCGCCAAGACACCCGCACCGCAAGTACCACCCCATCAAGCAATTCTGCAAGTACAAGTCCGACGCCATTTCCAGTTTCCACAGCAACCCGTGAACCTGCAGCCCTCCCTTCAACGAACCCAGCCGCGAGCACGCTTTCAAGACCAGAGAGAACGAGAACCTGTCCCCCAGAATCCCGTTCTCGGCCATCAGACGGAACACGGGCAACGCTCCCTCGGGCTCAACTCCGTGGGAATAGGACTTGAGGATCGCGTTCCAAAGAAAAGGGTCCTCCCCGCTGCCGCTCCCGCTCCCGCGGCGGCCCGAGAAGGGGCGGCGGCGGCGGCGGGCGAAGAAGGCGCGGCGGGCGAACTCGGCCACCGGCGGGTACGGGGAGGAGCACAAGGCGAGGACGAGATCGGAGGCGAGGGAAGCGTCGCGGATGAGGCCGGTGGTGATCATCCTCGCGTGGATTTGGTCCACGTCGCGGGGGGTCCGGCAGTTCCGGAGGTGACCGAGCGTGGGCTGCGTCGAGTTCCATGGCTGGTTCGGGCTCGAGACGAGGAGCATCGCGGTCCGCCGACTGCGCCCGAAGCTTCTCTGATGCTCTCTCTGTTCTTGACCAAGACGAACTGGTATCGTGTGGGGGAGCTAAGCCGTTCGTACGTTGAAAGCTCCTGTTATCCTGGAGTTCGGTCGCAAGGACGCTTTCCCTGAATATCACCGGAAAAAAAATCTCGATTTTTCCGCTTGTTCCGCCAAAAAAAAAAACAAATCGACGATTTAAAATGGATTATTTGTATCGCTCGTTTAAATGATCAACGAAAAATATTTTCATCGCTTTAGAAGATGTTTAAACATAAATTATTATTGGTAATATAAACATTTTTCATTGAATAATTATGTCAAGCGATATAAGCAGTTATTTTTAGAAAAATATTATCAAAATCATTTATTTTACGCGAAACAAACGGAGTTATAGTAACACGCATATTTCTTTCTTGATTTCGATATCTTTGCAACATGTACACACATGAAAAAGAAAACGAAAAATTGTCACTTTTAAGTCGCAAGGCACCGGGTGAGCACAACGTGTTATAAGTGGAAGTCAAAGGTTGTCTCATCGAAAAAATCTTGAATTGGTATATTTGTCCGTGGCACATTTCTCCAAAACTAATTTTCATGTCACAGAAAACCTTAAACCAGTATCCTGTGATAAATTTACCAAAATTTTTTAAATTGGTATATTTATGATAAATCTATCAAAACCTTAAGGCAAATTTAAAAGAAAATCATCACGGGTACATCGATTTGTGATTTCTTGTGACACAAAAATAATTTAGAGTAAATTTGACACCGAGCTTACAAGTTTTTGATTTGAGGTAAAACATGACATGAATGTACCCGTTTGGAATTTTTTTACGGTACTTCCTACATATTTTATATTGTGCTCCCATAATGTGATCCATCCATTTAATCTCTTCATTTTAATCACAAGGTTACTAGAGATGGAGACACTTATTCGCATGAATACACTACGCCAAACGCATTGAGTTGAGTTGTATGACCAAAAAATAAAAAAAAACGCATTGAATTATATAAGTAATTTGTTTTCTCTCATTATCGGATGCTCACGACCTTATAACATAACACTAACGTCCGTTTAAATGGGTATTTTACTTCTTGCATTAGACAAAATCCTAACTTTTAATTTAAGATACTCAGAAACTTTCGTAAAAAAAATGCAAGTGTCGATACGTCGATTAAATAAAATGTTAGTATTTTGGATTTTAATGGAAGAGTAAAAATAAAAGAAATCAACAAATTCACAATGGATATGATTATCGTCGAGTAAATTGCGTCGTTCAGTTGCAGCGAGCACGAATTGCAGGAAGACGTTTGAGGTCAGATATTATTTGTGTAGTAGTAGTACTTAAACAACTCAGGCATCACTCAACAGCCCTCTAATCCACCAGAACTGAATCTACGCTTCAGTGAGACTGAACAGAACATCTCGACATTGACCGAACAAATTGTGCACTGGGGTTCCTTACCTCGCAATCTTCCGAATCTACTCAACCTTATGTACAGATCATATGCTCGACCCATCTTGCTCTGCTCGGCACGACTCCTCGATTCACACGAGGCAAGCCACCCCCTTTCCCGCTTGCTCTCTTCTTCTAAATTAAGTTATCCAGGAAACACGAATCATGGAGCCAAATTTAGCAGCAGCCTCCTTTTAGTGATGGAAAGGACGCAGTTGTCAAAGAGATCCATCTCCCAAGATTTATGAGGCACATTTCTGGATCCTCCTGGGAAATGAACAGTGAGATGGTTCCTAGAATGCTTCTGAACCAAATTCGGGTCTCACTGGGTAGTCAAGACCGTGCAGAGATGGCATTCGCTTCTTATCTTCCTCCAGATAAGCTGGAACGAACCAGTATAGTTTATCTGTTCCAAACACCTAGCGCACAAAAGAGAGATCCATTATTAATAAGAAACCAGTATGGGAAAATTAAGAAAATTAGAATCCAACTTCAGTAATCTTCACTTCTTGTTTTATTGTGCAATCATCCATTTACACCAACTGCAGACGATGAAAATTGCGAAACGATACAGAATCAGAGAAAACAGAATAGGGTGCTGTCCATTTATGACACTCTGGTGAAATGCTGACAGAAAATTGTTTTCCCCATACTAACAGTGAACTCTTTAAATACAACTTCAACTAGTTTACAGGACTTATTTATATTGTACCATAACTTATACTTTATACTCTTTCCTTAATGTAGACTCCTGAAGATAAACCACAAGTAACCAACAGTCTGGCAGGGGGGTCAACTACATGCACTTACAAAAATGTCGTTGGTTCTGGTGTAGACGTAATGAAATCTTCTAACTTCAATCTTTTTGCGACACATGAAATTTTAGGTTAACCACCTTTCGGATCAACTAACAACTAGCACATATTTAACAATCATAATGCTACTCTCCCTCAATTACCATCTTCAATCACATTACTGTTCTTGGAGCTCCTGCTCATTGCGGAAATCCAATAACATATGAAATACTTTTGGCATATCAAGACTAGGAAAAGGGAAACAAGAGTAGTTGTGAGAAAAGCATTTTGAACTTCATATTACAGAAGGTTTTCTTGCATTTTGTTAGAAAAGATTATTTCGGGACTTTCAAGAAAGATTAATGAACATGATCAATGAAATTTCAAAAGATGCTACCTGCTCAAAATTTCTTTTCCGTCCAAGGTCATAACGCCATCTGGGAGTGGTCTTCTTCTCATAAGCCTGATCACAAGAGCAGAAACCACAGGAAACAATGAAGAACAAAGAAGAAATTTTTACGACTTTGGCATTAATTCATCCATGCAGAAATACAGAGTTCTTTCAGCAAATACATGTTTAGCATAAAAGGGATACTTCTTTTCTCAATTTCATATCAAGCTATGGAAGCTTGCTCAGGAATACTTCTTTAGGTCATATAGGCATTATTTTGCTAAAACTAAATAAGCAATGACTGTCTAAAGTCACCATCAACAAGTTCGTTGTTTCGAAGTATAATCAGCAGATAATGCACATAAAGTATCTCCAAGATTTCTAAAGCAAAATAATAACACTCCACATGCAAAATTTACCAAATAGGAAGGGAAAAGTCGTGAGCAAACCACTTGACGTTCAAACAACATGCTTAGAATCAGAAGTGAAGGTAATACCTCGATTGTGGTGGTGTTGGCAGCAACCAAAGATATATGCAAGATCAGGAAGCCCAATACGCTCAATGCAAATGCCAAATTCAAAACTAATGACCAACAGAAAAACATTATTAATAGGAAAAAAGATGCAAGAGAAGGTCACAAACGGTTATGTTGACCTTACCGAAAGAAAGAAAAGTCGTTGCAAGAGTGCCAGGGGTTCCAGGTATCTCTCCATCAGTAAAGAATGCTATGAAGTGTGGAAGTAAGGCCAAAGTAACGACACTTGTCTCAAGGAAGGTATAGAACTGCATTCAAATTCAGAAAAGGACCAACTAAAACCTTAGCCGTTGTCCAGTCAAAAAATTTGCCTAAAAAACAAAAAAACTATTCTTTATGAGTAAATCGCGGATAACCAAAAGTATTCACACAGTCAAATACCAAGGATAACTGCAAATGTCATACATGCCGAAATTATGAGCATATGAGAGATATGGAGAGAAAAATGGACAATATTCCATATGAGCAAGAGCACATGTTTGAAGCACAAAAATGACCGCTGAATTATGATTGATTGCATCATGTGGAACAAAATAATGTTTCTAGCTTCAACAGGACCAACAAAGAGTTAAACACAAAGTGGACTGCCTAAGTCCATGCATTGAAATTCCGACCAAAACAAAAAAGTCTATGCATTGATATCACATAACCATCATAGTAAACCAAAAAAAATAAATGTTCATGAATCTAGGACAGAATAGGCTAAGCCTTGGAGGGAAGTAAATCACACAGAAACAATCTTAAAGGAAAACATCATCAGCAAGAATCACGGAACAGAACCGTCTAATCACAGATTCCACTTTTTTCTACTATAATAAAAACGATAACCGTCATTATAATCAACATTCAATTTCTGTGTTCCTTTGTCTTTTCCTCATTATTTTTTGTCCTTTTCTTTTCTTTAGGGAGAAAGGAAAGCGGGACAGGGAGGGGGGTACATATTTATACAGGTATGCAAAATCTGGGGAGGGATAACATGTATACTGCCTAACAAACTTGGCGTGCTGAACTGAAGAGCAATGACCCCTGGACCACAATGGCAAGTGCAGATTAACAAATTTTTTCTTGCCCGGGGTGCTGTGTGATATCACTCATTCACAAAATATAAACAAGCTTGCAACATATACGAAAACAAAAAACCAGTTTTTCAAAATATGAAGAATACAAGATAAACGAATTTCTAGAAGCTACAGTAAAGCTAAACAGATGATGGACAGTTAAATTTTAAAGTCACGTTTCAGGTCTCTCTGTCTCTCTGTCTCTCTCTCTCTCTCTCTCTCTCTCTCTCTCTCTCTGTCCCTCTCTCTCTCTCTCTCTCTCAATATGTGCAGATCATTTCATACTTAAACCTCAAAGTGCATTTCCAAAATGTGAAGATAAAGCAGCAAGACACTAGGAAAAGGCCCAATCGGAGGTCGAAAATGAATGTTTCAGAAAGGAGAAGATAAAAAAATTCAACATGCCAGACCTTGAAAAGGCACAGAAGCCAAACCAATTTTCTCAGTTCTTTTAGAACACCTTAAAATTTTGTAATGCTTTTTCATCATTTCGAACTCAGTGTCGGACCTAGAAATTCTACAACAAGCATCAAATAAATTATTCTAGACATACCAAAAGCATAAGTGAGAAGACTACATGATTTCAGCATTTCAGAATAGATAAGGCTAAGGCAGATAGTACATGAACAGTGACATGTCATAATAATGTAAAGACCTAAAACCATACATACCAAAATCCAACTTAACATCCCAGGCAAGGTGTAAACTTACCAGAAAAAGAAGGAAATATTTGTAATTTAATGCTCCAACACAGTTGACAACCCATACACAATGATGATCCATTTTGAGCACACAGCTTCCACCTAAAACAAGTTACAGGCTATCTGTCAGCAGCCTAGAACGCAAAAAGGTAGACATAAAATAATAGAATTGAAAAAAACAGTTTAGTAGAACTTACAAACAGAACAATGATGACAGCGAGGCGGCTTGAAATGGTTACACTTTCGACAATAACGGATTCTTTGATTGGATGGATCGGATTGCAAACCACTCAAGTCAGGTAAAGTGAGCGGATCAGACTCCCCTCTCTCCTCATCAATACTAGGCCTCCAATTGGGTGGAACACCACCAGGGTCGGTGAACACAACCGAGAAGTAACTCCACAGCAGCATCACCAACTGCATTATATCAAATTTCCATTATTTCAGTCTTCTTTCAGACAAAAAAAAATAAAATTCCAATAGCCAACAAGCTCTAGTAAATTTGGGCAATCGTCAGCAAGAAAATGGCACGCAGGAGCAACAACAGGAAATTAGCCTCCTCATAAAAGTACTCATTTTTCGCGAATCCAGGACAAAGAACTTCAGAAGGAACTTCCAATTGCTCGAAACTTGCAGACACAACAATTGTGTGCACACATTGAAATGATACTCTATATATACATCCAAGAATTTCGTCCAGCAAACAATAAGCCAATGCAAACTCTAATAAATCCTAGGAAAGACCCCCTCCAAAAAACAAACCCATTTAAAGAAACCAAGCATTGGACTTTCCGCATTTAAATTTTAAAGCACACCTCAAGATAGACTTTTTTTTATTCTCTTCCACATTCAGATCAAGAGAGAAATCGACAAAAACCAGGCAAGGAATTCGGGAAGCTCACGAGGCCGTGGAACAAGACCAGGACGGCCAGGGCGGCCAACGCCCCGACGCCACCGGCGAGCAGGGCGGGGCCGTAGCTGGTCACGACGACGGCGTAGTAGGTGACGCCGACGACGCCGAGCACGAGCAGGATCATGATGGAGCCGAGGCCCCGGAGGGCGGTGCAGAACTTGAACACGTTCCACGCCATCGCGACCCCGGATCCGCGCATGCCAGAGCCGACGCGCCGGCCGCCGCCGCGGAGGGATCGGGTGGTCGGGAGCTCGATCTCGCCGTCCAGCCCCGGTCGCCGCCGGTCCTCGATTTCACCCCCCGGTGGTGGTGGGGGGGTCGCCGCCCCGATCGAGACGAGATTCGGGGGCGGAGGAGGTGCGTGGAAATCGAGGGTTTTGGGAATTTGGAGGTGAGAGGGAGAGGGAGAGGGAGAGGGAGAGGGAGATTCGGGCTCTTCAAGTAAAGTCGGCAGAGACGAGCTATTTGTTGACCCGTTCTTGTTCTTCTTCTTCTTTTTACATATTTTAACTTATGATTTCCATTTCGATCAATCAAAAAGGAAGAAACTTATGGTTTTCTGTAATAGTAGACAGGGAGAAATTTTCGAATGAGGCTACGAAGCGGTGCCGTGTTTTCTCGGAAAGAAAGGGGGCCCTGAGGTGGACTTTGTCTCGGGTAAAGGGCCGGGAGTGCCCGAGTTAGTCTCGAATAAGGGGCTTGAATTCGCCGACCGACCAAATCTTCGCCGGTCGGCAAGTTCCGATAATTTAATCGTAAATCTTTTGATAATTTGCATCTAGTCAATTTTGAATGTAAATCGTTGACGTGGCGGTTCAGTTAACGCCGGTCGTCCTACATGACGGATTTGGTTGTGTTACATAGGATAGTCAGCACTTACATAGATAATTTTAAAAAAAAATTAATTTTTTTTATTTTTTCTTTACTTTTTCTTTTTTTCTGACCCTAGGCCAGAGAGGTAGTGGGTCGACCCTCGCTGGTTGGCCGGTGAGAGCCGCGCCCTTGGCTGGTCTTAGCAAGGGCCAACGCCCTCACCTGTGGCCAACAAGACTGTTGAGGCCGTTGCCCCTGGTTGGCGAGGGTCGCCGGCCCTTGCCTGTGGCCGACGAGAATCACTAAGCTAGGGTTAGGAAAAAAAGAGAAAAGAAAAGAAGAAAAAAAATAAAAAAATCCAGAATTTTTTTTTAAAAACTTAAAAAATTATTCACGTTAGTGATGCTCACGCCACATAAGACAGTCAATGTTGACTAGATCGCCACGTCAGCGATTTGTGGCCAAAATTGGTTGGAAGATTAAATTGGCAAATCGCCAAAAGGTAAATTGGCACGATTGAAATATTTAGGACTGAATTAGCAAATCGTCAAAAGTCATATGACTAAATTGATCAAATTAAAAGATTTAGGATTTAATTGACACGAATTCAATAGGTTTAGAACTTTTTCGATAATTTTCCCGTTTCGTGTTGATTTGTTTTGACGAGACTAAACTGATATTTCTTCACTATAGAGGGGAGCAATGGTGACGAATTTGTGCTTCATCGGGCTTGGTCTCTCAGTGACGGCCAAATTTGTGTTTCGCCGCCATTGCTTGGCCTGTGCGATAGCGTTTGTTTTTGTCAAAGGAGGGTATCCATGGCGATAAAGTTATTTTCGGTCGCATGAGCCTGATTTTTTGTGGTGGTTGGTAAGTTAATTAGGAAAAATATTAATAAGTCACTCAAATAAAAGTGGGTATTTTTTTGGAAAAGTTGTAAGTTTCAAGCGTTGGTAAGTTAGGTAAGTAAGGTTGATAATTTATTATAAAAATTGGTAATTTACAAACAATTAAATAACTCTATAAATCTTCAAACAATCAAATAAAAGTGGTACTTTTTAATAGCGTTGGTACTTACCAACAGGTCCTTAGAAGAAAAAGTAATCCAAAATATTTGGAGATATGTTCGCTAGAAATCATAAAACATGTGGCGAAACTATAATTGAGTCCCAGGCTTAGGCCAAGGAGGATCCGGCCTAGCGAGGGTTGTCGGCCCTTTTTTTTTAGCCTTTTTAGGTTTTTAATTTAATTTAAATAAGATTTGAATAGTAAAATAATAAAAAATGCCACGTCAGCATTTTCCATTAGACTAATTGACGGTGTTAACTTTAAGATTTTGATTAAATCAATTCGACTAGTTTTAGGACTTGATTGCACTTTTTGAAAGTTTTAGGATTCAATTGCATTTTCGCGATAAGTTTTAAAACTTCTACTCAACATATCTTTTTATTTACCTACATTTCTTGACACAGCCAAACAAAGTAGCTTAACAAGGAGAACTATTAGTTTGAGAAAATGCCACACACAACACTACATCAGACTCCATTATAGAAGCTAGAAATATTATTCCCAAACCAATCATTACTTATTAGCATACCCCTCCAAATAAAAGATCGCATCATATGAATCGTATAAAGTATACCTCCCCCCCCCAAAAAAAATCAAATTATATAGTCTCTGTCTTGTACACGACACAAGAAATTACTTCAATTTCGACCTTGTCTTTCCATCGGTTTCCTTCCAATCACTTTCAGAATTACCAAGTTACATGAAAAAAAACCACATATTAAAGCACCGGTTTTACCTTGTTTCCATCGCCCCATGATGTGTAGAAAAGCTATGACAGGTTCATATATGGCAAAGCACACAGAAAATTCATCGAGAGAAAGAGATGGGAGATGATAAAGAGGTGGTGTTGGTAACGGGTGGAACAGGATTCATAGCATCATGGATGATCATGAGGCTGCTTCAACAAGGTTACACTGTCCGGACTACTATCAGACCAAGATCTGATCCAGGTGATGATTTCTCAGTGTTTACAGATCAGTTCTACATCTATTGTGTTTTGTCAGATCCTTGCTACGTTTGACTAAATCGAATCCAAGCAAATTTCGTTGTCTCAATGCTTATCAGGGATTCCTGGCAGCAAGAAGGACATCAGCTTCCTGACCAACTTGCCGGGAGCCTCCGAAAACCTACACATCTTCGATGCGGACTTGAACGAACCGGATAGTTTCGAGCCGGCTGTTGATGGATGCACCGGCGTCTTCCACGTCGCTCACCCGATGGACTGGATCGGCAAAGACCCGGAAGAGGTCGTCGTCCAAAGATCCATCCGAGGGACCTTGGGGATCCTCGGAGCGTGCCTCAAGTCCAAGACTGTGAAGCGCGTGATATACACTTCGAGCGCCGCGGCCGTCATGTTCTCGGGCAACGGCGAAGACACGGCGGACGAGAGCTCGTGGAGCGACGTCGAGTACTACAAGTCTCTGTTGCGTTTCGGCAATTCGTACATGGCGGCGAAGACGAGGACCGAGAAGGCGGCCATCGAATTCGCGGAAGAGAACGGTTTGGATCTGGTGACTGTGATCCCTTCTCTTGTTGTTGGTCCATTCCTATGTCCCGGTGCTCCAGGCTCCGTTCATATGGCATTGGCCTTGATCTTGGGTATGTTTCTTTCTGTCTCTTTCTCCCGTTTTTCTCTTCTTGCCAAAGATTCGTTATCACTTCGCATTTATTTGATTTAGAGAAATGCACTGTGAAATCGAATTTGAGTGATGTTAGGATTTCATTGATTCTACTACGTTACCGTTTCTTCTAAGCTTGAAGCATGAAATTGATAGCAATATGACACCACGAGCATTCATAAGCACTTAGGTTGTGCTTGGAGTGGGCCTTGTATCGTTCGCAAAAAATGCATAATTTGGAAAATAAATTTCCTAAAAAAGTTTATTTGCATTGCTTGAAATAATTAGTTAATGCAAAATATTTTCGTTACCGATAATAAATTATGTCTAAATATTTTCATAGACGATGGAAATATTTTTTCGTTCGTTCATTTTTGTAAACGATACAAGGAATTATTTTTAGGAATATATTTTTAAAATTTTTTATTTTTTTCGAAAGAAACGGAGCCTACGTTCTTGTCATACATGAAAGGACTTCACGAGAAAAGTTACTCTCTTGGCATCGTGGTGATCTCTCGGGGCTTCTTTTTTCACAGGCAACAGCGCCCAGTACAGAATCCTGCGGAGAGCAAACATGGTTCACGTCGATGACGTCGCAAGCGCGCACATCTTCTTGCTCAACCATCCTGATGCAAAAGGAAGGTACATCTGTTCATCAACTCAAGTATCGCTCCATGAATTATCCGATTTTCTCTCCGCGAAGTACCCGAACTTCCAGATCCCGACCCGAGAGTGAGTTCATACGACTTTTACACTTCTAGCTTGATTTAACAGAAATCGTTGTGTTCGAGAACTGTACAGCACATGAACATGCTTCTTCGCTTTCTATTTTGCCTTTCCCCCCGCCTTCTACAGAGACCTAAAGGATGTCGAAGGTCATGACGTATCTGGGCTCTCGTCGAAGAAGCTGTTGAGTTGTGGATTCGAATACAAGTGTGGCCTGGACGAGATGTTTGACGATGCGGTTCAGTCATATAGAGAAAGAGGCCTCCTTTGATCCGTGCTTGGCTTTGTTATATTTGTACTGTGTGTAACGTACCTGTGGATGATTTAATACAGAGAGTTGATAATATGTTGCGACGTGCTTATGGTTTTGAGCTGTGCAATGACTGAACTGTCTAGTGGTTGGCACCAGCAAAATTGCAGATCTATATGGTTCCATGCAGAAAAAGAGAAAAAAAAGTCCATGCTGGTAAATTTCAAGAGTGACACCAAGTGTCAAGAAAATATTGACAATAAAAATAATTAACTATGACTATTTTCTGGTTAGTTATTTGTTGGTAATACCAACACATTCATGAAACTCTTTTATAGTCTACAACTTGCCAATTTTTTTTTACTGGTTTACCCACTTTCGTTTGCATTGTTTACTAACACCTACACCTCAAATTCACTAACTCTTACACGGTATTACCAACCTAAGTTAGAGCAACTCACCAATTTTTGTCTAATGAAATTACTAACTAGTTTTGGATTACCAACTCTTACTTTCCCACCAACATTTAAGCTTTTGTTTTAGTTTATCAACTTTTTGATTAAGTTATTAACTTTTATTTGTTTTATTTAGGAGCCCCTTACATTTACCAATTCTTTTAGAGATCACCAACCAAAATTAGTGTGAGTCGCCAACTTTTCTCTTGTATTACCATATAATAATATTGGGTTCTAACTTTTATTTAAGTTAGTCATCGGCATTTATTTTATTGTTTAAAAATTGTACATTTTGAAAGTTTTAGGACTTAATTGAACTTTTGTGACAAGTTTTAGAAGTTGATTGTATTTTTTGAAAGTTTTAGGAATCAATTGCACTTTCATGACAAGTTTTAGGTCTTTCAGTGCACTTATAATTTTTTCTTAAGTACAACTCTTACATGAAATTATTAGCTTTAATTTAAGCGACTTATAAACTTTTCTTCGATTAAGTTTTTAACTAATTTTTTGTGACCAGCTTTTATTTGACTCGGCCACCATTGTTTTTTTTAATTTTATTTCCCATACTTTTCTAAATAGAAAATTTGTAAGTCACTCAAATGAAGGTCGGTAGATAAGACAGGTAAATAAAAGTTGGTAAAATATATGAAAAATGTTTAAGATGAGAGAAGCTTGTAATTTAAAAAACCAAATAAAGTTTGTAATTAATATGAGAGTTAGTAATGCAAAATTTAATTGGTAACTAATTGTAGAAAATGGTTGGTAAACAAGGTAAATAATAGTTGGAAATCCAATAAAAAAGTTGGTAAATTGAAATAAAACAAATAAACGTTAGTATCAACTCAAATGATAATTGTAACCCAAAATTAATTGGAGACAAGATGGTAAATCGCACAAAAGACATTTAAACCATTTGTTTTAAAGGTATTGGTAAAAGATATGATAAGTCTTTCTGTCAGAGAAGTTGAAAATAAACGTTGATAACTAACTTAAATAAGAGAGTTGATGATACAAAACTAGTTAGTAACTTAATTGGAAAAAAGTCAATAATTACTCTAATGGAGATTGGCAATTTCTAAAATCAATTTGTAAATTGAGAAAGTTGGTAAGTTCGGCAAATAAAAGTTGTAACTCAATAGTAAGTTATACAAATAAAGATTGGTAACTTCATAGAAAGTTAAATAAAAACTTGTAATAAGAATTTTTTTGTCAAAGATAGAGAAGTTGGTAATTTAGAAAATCCTAGTAAAAAATTGGCAATGAATTGTTGGCTCCTAAATTTTGACGACTCATCTAGTTATTCATGCATAGAAAATTAGGGATCAATACTGACCCTCAAACAAAAATATAGTTAAATTGTATTTGCATATTAGGGGGCGTTTTTCATTTAATAGTAATAGGCCCATATAAATGCATTATAATCGGACTGATGCAGGGAGGTTCTAAGCCTAACTGAATTAATTAGGTTAAGCCCACAATATTGTCAAATTTGGCCAAAACCCATTGGCTATGTAATGGCCGAAACTACATATGCTATGGGAATTTCAAATTAAGAAATATTATTCCGTTGAAGCAAACTTAGAGAGCAATTTAACTCTAAATGAAATTTTGATTAGAGAAGGAAGAAAATGGGGGTATTTTTGTTTTTGGTCGAACAAAAATGAGTGCCTTTGCATGTTCGAAAAGTGAGTTTTTTACGTAAGAAAAGAGGAGGTATTCTTCTTCGTGGTCTCGGCTTCACACGACTCCTCCCACTGCAACACCGTGTACTCCCACCAGCTTCAATGGTTTCCGTCGCTCAACCGACGACGTCGATGAGTTCACACTGCTTGCAATCAATTCTCGACAAACGGCTGCAACTCCCAGACGTCTTAAGCCTTCGCCGCCACCTCCAGCTCTTGCCGTTGCTTTGCCTGGATTTACAGCAGCGAGTACAACGTTCGCTAGCTCTCGTGCGCATCTCTTCAGCCACCAACGAGATCAACACTTTCTGCAGGTGATCTTGTCATCGCTGGTGGGAGTACCCGGTGTTGCAGTGGGAGGAGTTGACACAGCTTGCAATCAAGATACCCGAGAAGACCCGCCTTCATTGCCGTGATCTTGTCATCGCTGCTCCTCGGCATAACCACGTTCGGAACAATCCCTCCTCGCCGTCACCTACCCAAGATCGTTGGCCACACGTCTTCTTCTTTTGTGAATTTCGGCTAAGGCCGGTGCATGGGCTAGCCGAATTCTTGCTCATTTGTGGGCTCAATTAATGACAAGCTTGATCCTTTCGGGGATTATTTTAATTAAGCTTAAAGCCTTTAACTTGGACCGGCTAAACCCAACTCAAATAAAGCTCAACACTTTGTCTTTTTCACTTTTGAATTTCGGCCTTCTCATCTCCAAGCCTACTGTGGCTGATTCAGGTCCATTCACCGTCGACAATCTGATTAAGATGCAATGAATGATCCTAAACTATATGCAGCTTCTTTTATTCAAGTTAACTAATATTTTTGCTAGGGGCCGGGATCGGTCCTTAATCTTCTATGTAATAAATTCTTAAATGACTAGCCAAAATTTAGGTGTCAATAGGACAAAACAACAAAATCATATGATAAACTACGATGTTAAACAAGTAGATAGGATGAGTAGAAAAAGAGACTTTTAGGTTGGTTCAATTAGTCCTAAGTCGAGATCAGATATTTGGATCTATTTGAAGCATTGACAGGAGGTTGAGATGTCGTTTCACCGAAATGTGTCGACAAAGCACCTTTCGAAATGTGAATCAATATGGAAATTGACAGAGGATGTGATGGGTTCTTTGTTAATTCTTGGAGAGGAAAGATGGATTGATGAGAAAATTAAAGGTATGAAGACTTGAAGTAATTGTGGCCAACCGTGTAAAAGGATAGTGGAATGTAAAAATAACAAGAAGATAAAATTGATCAACTTGTATTCATTGATTGATTGGTGGTCCCTTACTTGAATTACAATCCTAATATTTATAACTATGCCATCAACAATTAACAACAGTTAGAAAGAAAGCAAATAACATCCTACATAACTTTTTAGAATTCATCAACATGTATTATAAATGGTTACCAGAAGACCCGCTATTCGACCATCATGACTTCATCACTTGCCCCACATCGACAGTTTCTTCCATAGCTTGCAACCCCTCTTCCTGACGGGTTATAATAGCCCATGTTTCTCGGTCATTATCATTCATGACTTTCGAGATTTGCAGCTTTTACGAACTAATGATTGTATTGGCTTTGCGTCCGAAATCGTTGGCTTCATGACCTGACACTCATCTCATTCTTGATTCATCAATCTTCACTTCAACTCCTGTTCTTTCGTTGACTAAACTGAACTTCACTCCGGACACTCGATTTAGTAATTTTCCTTCATGCCTGCTGTAGGTAATTGCTAATCACCTTGGCGATTACCCATGTTTGCCGACTAGAAACTCCCAGCACTTTGCGGATTCTAGCTCCGCCATGTCTTGCTTGGTCTTTTCTAATCTGAGTCGACAGTTAAAAGACTTGAGTAATTTTGAGTGTCAAACTTATAATTAAAGAAAAGAGATGAAACGTGAGAAGCATGTGTTTGAACCGCTAAAATGCCAAACCTTAATGTCAAAGAGCTAAAGTCATGAATAAGCAATTGGTGCCATTCACTTAGCGTACTTTGGCTTTATGTTTAGTATAAGTCGATGAGGAAGTGTTGGGACCAGCAAAACAAAAGGGAAAGTCAGAAGTCGAGTCGTATTGGTAAGGCGGGCCGTCGACTATAGGGAGTAACGATCTATCAACCCGTTGTGAGTGAACGCTAGCAAATGATTATGTCGATTAATCCCATCTTTAGACGGGGCACGATGACAATATCCACTGGATCTAGGGACTGAGGTGCATGGCATGCACATGTACCCCATGGTCGAAGGCAGATTGCTGATGTAGGTATTTTAATCACGAGCTCAAAGGACCCAAACCAACCTTAATGGGGCCAAACGATTATATCATTGTTTAAGAGGACCTCAATCCTCATCAAGAGCCCTATTATTGGACAACCAAGAATCGACATTGGACCCGACATATTGTAGATTATCTTATGATCTCCATATATAATATGCAGATAATACAAACCCACTCAAGATCCAATTGGGCGATGCTTCAAGATGCTTGGAGGAAAAGGACATCAAAGACCACAACCATGCTTAGGGTTAAAAGATAGATTTCCCAAATGGGTAAGGGTAGGATTTGAGCCAATCGTATGCATTTTTTTACCTTATGACATATAAGATTGGCCCAAACTCGAGATTGGAGTTATATGATAATGTAATCCTTCATTAGTCGGAAGGGGATAAGAATTTAGAACATGTGTAGTTCGTGAAGAGAGCTGAAACTCCATAGTCAACATCGACATTAGCTAACAAAATACAGTTATGATTCGACTAGCTGTCAACAAGGATGAATTTGTCCTAACAATTTTGCATTTGATCACTTCTGTGAAATGTCATTTAGTTATTATGAATGAATGAAATCTGTGATATAAGAATGCAAAAGTTGATGGATCTTGCAATTCAATGTCAAACGCAAGAAAATGAAATTAGTAGAGAAATCGATCACTACAAAAAAACATGTAATTTGCGACGGAAATTTACGACGAAATTTGCGAC